TGGTGACCCAGGAGCTGGAGGAGCTGGTACTGGCGGTGCAGCACCGCCACGTCTGTTCTTCGCTCCGCAGTCACCGTCGTCTCTACCGCCGCTTGGCTCGGTGCTTCGCCATGTTCTTAGTCTCCCGTCTTCTACTGGTCTCCCGTTACAGCCAGGCTACCAACAGCCTGCTCCCTCTCCTTACACTGAGCAGACAGGAGGTCTTACTAAGCGCCGTGAGCCTGGGTCTCGTCCTGCCTCACCTGTTCGCGCTAGTCGCACTGGTCGACGTGTTCCTCGTGAGCGTCCTCCTCCTATCCCCAGCACGCACACTATGGCACATCGTCCTTCCTCTGTTCCACAGCATGTTCCTCTGCCGTCTCCTCATGCGTCCTTTCTTCTGCACGTTCCAGACCCTGAGTCTGATCTGGTTTGTGCTGCCAGTCCTAGTATTACGCGTCTTCTGGCCACTGTTGTCACTGACCCTTCATTTGAGTCTGTTGCTGCGTCTGCCTTAGTCGCTGAGCTTGTTGACTTTGCTTCTGCTTGTCGTCTTGACTACGCCGCTAGTCTTGTTGCTGAGTTTGATTCTGTCCGTCCTCTGTCCATCGACGGTGAGTGTGCTCTTGGCACGGACGTCCTTGAAGACAGGCAAGAGGACTTTGAGTGTCTTGCAGCCGTTGCACCTCATCTCGTGGCCATGCTGCTTGCCCCTGAGGGAGACCCGGATGCACCAGATATCCCGACCCCGCGCTCCTACGCTGAGGCGATTGCGGGTGAGTACTCCTCTCAGTGGCAGACAGCCATGGACGTAGAGATGGCAACTTGGAAGTCCACAGGCACCTACGTCGACGCGTTCCCCCTCGTGGGGCGAACGTAGTCGATGGCATGTGGATTTTCAGGGTGAAGCGGCCACCGGGGTTCTCCGCCTATCTTCAAGGCTCGTTACGTTGCACGAGGCTTCAGTCAGCGACAGGGAGTTGATTTCTTCCAAACCTTCTCCCCTACCCTGAAGATGACCACTCTTTGGATGTTGCTGCACGTTGCCGCTCAGCGTGACTACAAGCTTCACTCTCTTGACTTCAGCACAGCTATCCTACAGGGCACCCTGCACGAGGAGATCTGGCTGGGCCATCCACATGGCTTCATTGGGTCGTTTCCTGCAGGTACCTAGTGGAGCCTCCGACGGCCAGTCTACGGTCTCCACCAGGCGCCCCGTGAGTGGCACGACACACTAAGGACAACACTTGCGGCACTTGGGTTTGCTCCTTCGACTGCGTAACCGTCGCTGTTTCTCTGCACTAACACTTCGCTGCCGCCGTTCTACATCCTCGTGTACATCGACGACTTGGTTTTTGCCACTGCTGACACTGAGGCACTCCCCCTTGTGAAGTCGGAGCTACAGAAGCAACACACGTGCACAGACCTGGGTGAGCTGCGCAGCTATCTTGGCTTGCAGATCACCCGTGACTGAACACGACGCACCATCACCCTGACTTAGTCACACATGGTGCAGTAGGTCCTTCAGCGCTTCGGCTTCACTTGGTTCTCGCCACAGTCCACTCCTCTGGCTACCGGTCACTCGCTCTCAGCTCCACCTTCGGACAAGTCCGTAGAGCCGAGTGGCCCGTACCCAAAGCTAGTGGGCTGCCTCATGTACCTGATGACCTGCACTCGTCCTTACCTTGCGTACCCTCTTGGCCTTCTGGCACGCTACGTGGCTCCTGGTAAGCACCGAAAGATGCACTGGGATTCTGCAAAGAGGGTACTGCGTTACTTGTGCAGTACATCGAGCATGGGGCTCGTGCATGGAGGGCGGGGTCCAGTTGTCCTCACTGGACACTAAGACGCTTCGTGGATTGACGACTTGACTACGCTGTGGTCGTCTCAGGGTTACACGTTCAGCCTTGGCTCCGGCTTTGTTTCTTGGCGGTCTACCCGCTCGTCTTCAGTTGTCATTTCCAGTAGTGAGGCTGAGATCTATGCGACAGTCATGCTGCACAGGAGTTTCGCTGGCTCACCTACCTGCTGACCGACTTGGGAGAGCGGCCTCGTTCTCTTCGAGTTCTGTACGTCGACAACAAGGCTGCAATTGCCTTGTGTCAGGAGCACAGACTGGAACACAGAACGAAGCACATCGCTCTGCGTTACTTCCTTGCTCGAAAGTTGCAGCAGCGTGGTCAGCTTCGTCTTGCTTACGTGGCCACTCGAGCCCACACTGCTGATATATTCACCAAGGCACTTCAGCGTTGTGATCATCATTGCTTCTGTACTGTGTTGGGCCTTGTGCATGTTTTGCCTCACTTGCTCACTCCTTGACTTTGCTTGTACTATGACCTATATATATATACCTGCATGCTTACTCTTGCTAGGTAGTGATCACTGTACTGTTTGCTGTCTTTTATATAACTCTGCATATGGACCGACCTTGTGGCCATTTGCTTGTGCTCAGAGTGTGTGGTGACTTCGCGATCCACCGTAAGCTTGCTTTGCTTTTCTTGACTGGTCTTGTGACCCCTTGTTCTCCCCCACTTTGCCTATGGGGATGTGTCAAACTGCAATGCTACTTATGTTGTGTAGGCTGTAGTGAGGTAGCCTATATGGGTTACAGCCCAATTAGGGTTATACTTGTACTCATTTGATGTCAATGCAATCATTCCTATTCATTAGATTCTGACAGACAGTGGTCGACCGATGTAGGGAAGCCAGCGGCCGACTTCGACTTACATGGTCAACGAATGGATTCGTTTACCTGAGAGAGCCGGGGACATTAACCAGTCGACTAAGTAACCAGGGTGGCAAAGTTATGCGGGGGTGTGTTGACGTCGCACAGGATGTTTTGGTGAAGTCGACTTGCTTTGGTTTTCTTCACTGGTCTTGAGCCGTGAGTCTGGACGTCCCCGCGGATTACCTTCTAATAGTAGCCTACTTAGGCCTGCAGCTGTGTAGACCATGGTGGTCACCCCTGGAGAAGTCGCAGGCGTAGAGGATACCCTGCAGGCCCGGAGGTTGATGTTCGGCGACACCATGTTGCTTGCGAGTACGTTAGTGACTAGAGACGACGCTCCCAGGAAATCGCGCGCGATGGGCGATGCGCCCACCTCTCCCTGACCTGGGGACAACAGAGGCGACGGCGGCAACGAAGTTGCCGATGGAGGCACGAGGGTGACTCGTGGAGCGATCAAGGCCGTCGGCGTCGGCGGGATGCAGGCGCGAAGGCTGCGCTCGACGCCAACTGCAGGCAGCTCGCACGACGACGCCGACGGTTGACGTCGATATTCCCAACGAAGTGGAGTCAGACCGACCTTGGGGACTCACGAGTCTGCTAGTCAAGATGGAGGCATCGCCCTGGCATATGAAAACTTCAATCTTTCGCCGGAGAATGTTACCGTGCCCCAGTTTCTTGAAGGTCGCCACGACCTGATCACGTGGACAGAGTCCATTGAGCCGCAGCTGAAGATTGACGGCCTGAAACCGTTCGCCGATGGCGACGTAGAGACGACGGTGAGGCAGTCGTCAAGCTCCAAGCGGAATTCCGTGTTGCGCACCTGCTGGCATTTATGGTAATATCGCGGTGTTGCTAGACGCTGGTGCTATCACCCTAAAGGCCTTGTTGACTTTGAGTGGACATCGGCTCTCAAGCCTGAGAGTTTAACAAGTCGACCTACAAGGCGACAGACGACCTCTACATCGGCTAGTAAGACCAATATTCGGATGAGCGCCACGGTTTTGTTGGCATCAGCGCTTGAAAGCACGGGGCTTTTAGTAGAAACAATTCTTAGATGGCATCATGCATGATACAACATCATCACTCGACATGGCTCCCTCTGGCTCTACAAATTGTTCCAACTGGCTCCCTTACATATCTGCACATCCCCGTGATCTCCAGGAGGTTGGCTGTGTCGATTGCCTTCAAGACACCGACGTCACCGCCACATTTTCCTGACACGAGTGGTTCGTGACCTGTATGGTCACCACCACTAGGGCACCTCTTGCCACGTTCCCCATGAACTTTGTATCACTGTATCCCCCCATGTTCCCGTGTCTGGTCAGGAAGTTACGGTCTTGCTTGTGTTGGTCTCTCACTCACCCGTCGCTCCTATGGCACCACCTTCTCCTAGGTTACCCCACCCTCTTGCATCTTCGTTACATGGCTCAGCACGGTCTTGTCTTTGGTCTTCCGTCGTCGCTCCACCATGCTCCCCTTGATCAAGGGTCGGCGGCGCATTGGCCCTCACTCCTCGTTTCATTCCACTACTACGCCTCTTCAAACCTTGCATATGGACGTATAGGGCTCTGCCCCCGTCTCTGGGTATTGTCGGGAGCGCTTCTTTCTGGTCTTTATTGACGACTACGCCCGCTACATCATGGTGTTTCCCGTGGAGCGGAACGTCGACGTTCTCCTTTGTGAAACCTTGAAAAAATAGGCCTTGCTTATGACGTCTCCTTCTTATGACGCCTTGATTTTTTTTGTGTGACCACCTTTCTGTATCAACAATCTTGTGTCTTAATATATTTTTTCTCCGCCAGCTTGGCAGATTTTTGTTGAAATCTTGTTGTGATTCTGTACTTGATTGACTGAAGAAACAGAAATGGGGCCCTTCATTCTTCAGTGAAGCAACTCGTAACAGAGTGGCTGGTCCGAAACTTTGTCACCTTCGTTCCCCCGAAGCGGACCAGGGATGTACCCAGACTCCAGCGCTGACTTCGAAAGAATTCAGACTTTGACCTGCAAATGCTGTCTCTTCCCGTCAGACCACGCTACGCAATTCGGTAACCCGTCGCAACCATCACGCGAAGCCCCCATGCACGAACCGCATTTCAGACCAGGGTTTGAGCTACAAAATGAGCAGCCAGGATTGTTTGACAGCACAATTCAGCAGCACTCGAGCACTCCAGCTCCTGCCCATCTCCGAAACCCATTCAGTGCGTTAGCTTTACCCCATCACAATTAGCTTTACCCCTTTTTCCGATAGCTGCGAATTCTCCACGCTGATTTGATCTGCATCTATTGCAGCTCGATGGGGAACCCCGTCAAACCACAGCTTGTGGCGGTTCCTCTCATTCTCTTTCTCGTCATCGGCTCTTGCACTGCTGCCGCTCATCCCTGGCGACGTGCTCTCGTCCGCAACGACAACGCTGTCTCGTGGAATGCCGCAGCCGCATATACCAACAGCCGCACCGCACCTCGCGGAGTCAACTCCAAGGCTGCGACGGTCGAACAGAGGGTGTCAGAGCCCCTCGTGTATTCTGCCAGAGGCGGCGCTGCTGGTTCCCACGCGACTCCCAGTTGGAGTCAGCACACTGCTGCCAGTCGCGTGGGAACCGCTGCCCCTCACGCCGTCCATTACGCGGCCACTCCTGACGCCGCCTCTCACGCCACCCCTCATGCTGTCCATTACGCGGCCACCCCTGACGCCGCCTCTCACGCCGCCCCTCACGCCGTCCATTACGCGGCCACCACTGACGCCGCCTCTCACGCCGCCCCTCACGCCGTCCATTACGCGGCCACAACCCGCGGCGCTCCTCACGCTGCACGTAACGCCGTGAATCACGGCTCTCACGGACCTGGAAACGCCAACCTCCCTGCAGCAGCGAATCAGCATCGAGGTGGTGTTTCCCGCCATGACGGTAACGGTGGTGGAACAATCGCCGTCAACGGCGCATTCCGCGCAGCCAGCGCGAACGACGTGGCGATCCATCACCGCTCCAGCCACGAGCGTCACACACGAGACGAGCGCAGCAGTGGCGGGCCAGTGGGGTGGCACATCCAGCCCAGCAGCAGTGGAGGCTTTACTGGCGGTGTACTGGCGCCTCCACTCTGGTCCTTGCCCCGCGACAGGCCACGCTGGCCATTTCACAAGGCAGGAGCTTCTGATGTGGCGTTCCACAGGAGGAATGGTGGCGGCAACAGCAATGCGCGCGGCGCTAATCACCCGGGCAGCTATCAGCGAGATGATGGTGTGAATCGTGGGAGTGTGGGGATGGCATTTGCACGCACTAACGCAGCTGGTGATTATGGAGGAGATTACAGCGGCGGTGACTACAGCGGTGGTGACTATAACGGAGGCGACAACGGTGGCGACTACAACGGAGGCGACAACGGTGGTGACTACAACGGAGGCGACAACGGTGGTGACTACAACGGAGGCGACAACGGTGGTGACTACAACGGAGGTGACTACAACAGAGGTGACAACGGTGGTGACTACAACGGAGGTGACAACGGTGGTGACTACAATGGAGGTGACAACGGTGGTGACTACAACGGAGGTGACAACGGTGGTGACTACAGCGGAGGTGACAACGGTGGTGACTACAACGGAGGTGACTACAATGGAGGCGACAACGGTGGTGACTACAACGGGGGTGACAACGGTGGTGACTACAACGGTGGTGACTACAACGGTGGTGACTACAACGGTGGTGACTATAATGGTGACGGCGGTAACGGTGGCGGTGACGGTGGAAACGGTGGCAGTGACGGCGGTAACGGTGGTGGCGGTGGTGGCGGCGGCAGCATCGACATCGCAGGTATTCTCGAGGAGCACAACAAGGCACGGCAGGAAGTGGGTGTGCCAGATCTGGCATGGGACGACGGAGTGGCAGCAACGGCACAGGAGTGGGCGAACGAGCTGGCGTCCAAAGGGTGCCCTCTGGAGCACGGCGGAGCAGAGGGGCTCGGGCAGAACCTCTACTGGCTGTCACCCGCAGGGCTGACCCCCCAGGAGGACCGTGGGGCAGTGCAGTCATGGGTGGAGGAGAAGGCGGACTGGACCCCCAGCCCCATTCCCGACGGGTGTGCGGACGGCAAGATGTGTGGGCACTACACGCAGGTGGTGTGGCGCGACACCACTCATGTCGGTTGCGCCTCTGCTCAGTGCCCCGATGGCTCCGGCATGTGGGTCTGCAACTACTCGCCCCCAGGCAACTTTGCCGGCCAGACTCCTTTCTAGGCCGTCAGATTGTGCTGTCAGCGAAAACGTGCTGGAAGATGAGGGTGTGCGAAGTCAGAAGTTTGAAAGTTGTACGGACTGTTTTAGACTGAAGGTATGCTGCAGAACTTTGGGGGAAAGGGTTTGACAGTGTAAGGGTGGGCTCTGGCAGTTGTATGTGTGTGGAATCGGTGAAACTCGGCTTGTAGTCCGTATGAGTGGTTTCTGTTTTCTAGTGTGAAGTGTACAAACCGACTGGGAACAAATGTGACCGCATGTGTTCTTTGGATACCCAAGTTGACAGCCATGACAGGAGAAATGTAGTTGAGCCCGTGAACCACAAGCTTTCTTCCCTTCATTAGCATAGTCCTTCCATAGTGAAAACCGATGCAACCACTGTCGCTTCTATTATAATGAGGAGCAAACCCAAGTTGACAGCCATGACAGGGAATTACGGTAAGAGGTAATGGGTCACAAGAGTCCCAGGCGAAAAAGGTGAAATCAACTTTGATCTTGAACCACACAATTTATTGATATTGTTTGCTTCACAATTCGTACAAATTCAGAGAGCCTGAACAAGATTGCCTCCTACCCACCCAATCATAATTGCTCCACAATCAAGTACAACAAAGAATGCTCAGAAAGATAGGGAGATCCCTTCTCTCCCAAAATTTGATTCGGCTTTTTTCCTTCCTTCATATTTCGGTAGTCCCCTCGTTCATAGATTTTCTAAAACGGAGTCTCGCCGTCAAAGTTGCCTGGGGGCGAGTAGTCGCAGACCCACATGCCGGAGCCATCGGGGCACTGAGCAGAGGCGCAGCCGACATGAGTGGTGTCGCGCCACACCACCTGCGTGTAGTGCCCACACATCTTGCCGTCCGCACATCCGTCGGGAATGGGGCTGGGGGTCCAGTCCGCCTTCTCCTCCACCCATGACTGCACCGCCCCACGGTCCTCCTCCGGGGTGAGAGCAGCGGGCGACAGCCAGTAGAGGTTCTGCCCGAGCCCCTCTGCTCCGCCGTGCTCCAGAGGGCAGCCGAGCGACACCAATTCACTCGCCCACTCCGCTGCCGATGCTGCCACTCCGTCGTCCCATGCGAGGTCGGGCACACCCACTTCCTGCCGAGCCTTGTTGTGCTCCTCCAGGATAGTTGCAATGTCGATGCTTCCGCTGCCACCACCACCGCCACTACCAGCACCATCACCACTACCATCATCGCTACCATCACCGCTACCATCACCGCTACCATCGCCGCTACCATCGCCGCCACCATCGCCGCTACCATCGCCGCTACCATCGCCGCTACCATCGCCGCTACCATCGCCGCTACCATCGCCGCTACCATCGCCGCTACCATCGCCGCTACCATCGCCGCTACCATCGCCGCTACCATCATCGCTACCATCAGCATTACCATCACCGGTACCACCATCACCATCACCATCACCAAAGTCACCATTACCATCACCGAAGTCATCATTACCATCACTAAAGTCATCATTACCATCACCAAAGTCATCATTACCATCACCAAAGTCACCATTACCATCACCAAAGTCATCATTACCATCACCAAAGTCATCATTACCATCACCAAAGTCATCATTACCATCACCGAAGTCACCATCATCGTTACTGAAATCACCATCACCACTAACGTTACCACCATCGTTATCGTTGCCACCAGCATCACCACCATCAGGACAGCCATTCGAAGAGTCATCACTATTGTTGTCACCGCCATTTTCACCACCGTTATCATCTCCTGCTATGTTGTCTCCAGATTCCTCTCCCTCAATCCCACCGTCCGCGCGACCATCCTCGCCGGGATTCACGCCGTTGGTACCGCCACTACCATCTCGCTGTTTATTCCCCTTTGACTTGCCTTTGCCGCCGCGGCCGCCGCGTTTTCGGCCCTTGAGATTGAAACCAGGGATCACGATTGCGTTCCCTTTTTTGCCGCTGGCTGCGTTTAATGCGGCGCCAATTGCTCCTCCTTTTCTTCCACGTTTTTTTCCCGGCCCACGGGGCTGGGCATTTCCGGATCCTGCAGCGCCGCCATTTGCGGGATTATGAGGAGCGGAAGGAGCGCCGGCAGTAGGGTCTTCCGACGCGGGTGCAGGTGCGGGTGCAGGTGCGGGTGCTGGTGTAGCGGTCGCAGCGCCTGAAATCACGAGAGAACTCGGCACGCTTTTGGCGAGCATATGAGCCTTTTCGAGCATTTCACGAGGCGCGTTAGGCCCGTTCGTCGATGTCGCCGTCCACAAGACAGCGTCGTCGCTCTGCGACGCTTTGGTGTCGCTGAGCAGCGCTCGTCGCCAGGCATGAGCACAGGAAGAGCCGAGGATGAGAGAGAGTATGAGAGGGACCACCACAAGCTGTCGTTTCACCGGGGCCCCCATTGAGAGGCAATTCTAAATTCAGATCGAGTGCAGTGAGTGACAAAAGCTGTTATGAGAAACAGCTTGTGTTTGGGGCCCTGCCGGGTAGGAAACGAATGAGGTTTTTAGTTATGGGATTATGGGCTGCTCGAATGAATATGTGCTTGAAAAGTTGGGAACGGAGCTCTAGTGTGCGTCATTTTCGTTCGTTTGATAGGATCCAGTCTGGTGCGCAATGGTCGAAACCGGCGGAAAACGAAAACAGTTTCTCACCATTTTGTAGCGTATCAAACCGTGCGCCCTTTCTCCAAACCAACATGTCTGGCCCAGATCAGGCCTGTCGATTGGTTTCGGATTAAGAATTACCCCTATCAGAAAGTACCCGTGCGTTTACCGCAAGCAGACCCATGTGAACCATAGAAATGTGCACTGTATCAGGCTCAAAGTGCAAGGTTGCATTCTAAAGTTGGGAACACTATCCTTAGTATGGACCTGAGCGTTTCAGTACAAAGCCCTGCCCGGAATGTGCAGGGAATGAAGGCAAAATGCCTTTCTATCTACTGCCCTGATACTGATCAGTAGTGCTTGCCTAGGGAGAGTGTGTTGGGATTGATCAATTTTGTAGGGTAGTAGAAATTTTTGGATCTGCCCCATTCAGTACTCCCTACCTCCAATTTATTGACCGAGATGCGCATGCTGCTCCTGCTGCCTGCACCAACACCCAGGTGTTGGGTGGGACGCCGCAAAGGGCGGACGGCGACGCACCTGGGGTCTGCACCGCCGCGACACACCTGGACGCTGGCCCTCCGCGACACACGCGTGGATCAGCGGATCAGCGAGGACCTGGTAAACAGCAGAAACACAGACGAGGACGACGAATGTCGTAAACGGAATTCTACATATTCGTGAAGGGTTGCCCAGCGCGGTTCGGTACATTGAACCGCCACTTTAGACCATTGCCCGCCAAACCGAAAAAAGGCGAGAGAAATTGCGATGACCTGAAAAGTGCAGGTGTCGCTGAAGTGCACGGCATGCGGCCCACTGCCTGAGCGAGATTGAAGGGACGCTCACAGCACTTCGTTTCTGAGCCGCGACAATTGTCCGAAAGTCTGGGCTGGGATGGAATCCCTGGCTACTTCCTCTGGTCCGCTCTTCTGGATATTCCGACAGCAGCATACGTACTACAGACCAGCCAATCGTTGTTGATATAAAACTGTTGGAATTCCGAAATACATTATTCTGCTCTATGGGTTCAAACACACCGTTCAGGTCTTGCACTAAGGGTCCATTCCGCTCTTGACACATATGTCTCAATCGCGTCATACAACCTCTGTACCAGTCTGCACTGCATTACACCTAAGTTTCTAACATTTCCACCGCACTGCATCTCTTAGATTGAGACGCTGAGGCCTTTGTGACGTGCTTCAGGAATGCACCCTAAATGAGATGTATGGATGTGTCTAAACAAGTGCAAGTAGACCATCATGATCCAATCATCAGTGAATCACTCTCCTGGATATTATCCGCGAAACTACCATAGCATTTAGGTCACTACCCTGTTGACGTATTACGTACCAAGAGCGGGAATAACACGTTTCCTTTCCTAGCTAAACAGTTTAGCATCTCATAAAAGTGTCCTAGTCTAGCACCAGTATCTCTTGCCCGCTAGCGGAACGGCGTAACATGGGCTAAGGATAGCCTTCGCCCATCCAGCCATATGGCTTTCAATGTATCTAGGAATGGGCAAGTGAGTGTACCCTGCCTCCATGTTCAGCTGCAACTTAACACCACACCCATAAATCATCACAACTTTCTCCACTCCAATCCAACACTTAAATCAACCACAACCAGAAGGCACCCCCTCTTCAAAAGAACAAATCCTGATCATCGTCCCTCCCCCGGCGACCCATCGAACCCATCTGCACCCCACTCCCGCTCGCCCCTGCCGGAGCCGCAGGGGGCCACTCCACACTCCCTCCCACCGACGCCCCTCCCCACTGCCCCGAACCCCCTCCTCCACTCCCCTCTCCCATCCTAGACGACGACGCTGACCCGACACCAGCAGCACTGGCAGCAGCAGCAAGGGTGACAGCAGCAGGGGGCTGAGCGTCACGAGTTGGGCGGCGCATTTCGGCAGGGAACCGCTGCATGGTGGGGAGTTCCGAGAGCTCTGCTGCGCGCCTGCGCTGTGCACTCGCCCTCCTTGCCACATCCCACGCCCGCCCCACGATGTCCACTCCCTCCTGGAATGGGTGCGCACACAGGGATAGGGAGAAGAGGAGTGAGGAGGAGGAGAGATAGGGAGAAGCCGAAGAGAGGGAGGGCAGTATGTGAGGCAAGCGGGTGCGGGTGGGAGAGTGGGTTGTTGCACAGAGGAGGTGGAGTGGGAGATGGTCAGTGGGAGATGGTGATGACTACAATGAGGAACTGTGCTGAGGAACGAAGAGGAGATGCAGGGGTAGTGGTAACGAAATGGCCATGGAGTCAACACAGTAAGCATAGCTAATAGAGAAGGAATGGCCATGTACAATCAGGGGCAGTGTGAGGAGCGAAAGGAGGGCTCCCACTGCTGATGAATCCGATGCATGTGATGCATACGATGCACTTGACGCATTTATGCATGTGATGCATGTGATGATGCGTCCAGTGTGCAGCAGCGCACCTGCTTGGCAAAGAACGACTCGAAGCCGGGCGTGTCAAAAGCAAAGCCGGTGTGCTTCTTGGACGTGAGGCGCGGCAGAGACGCCATGGCCTGGCTGCGAATCTCCTCCCTCTCCAGCCTGCCCCAGCACAAGGGGTGACGGGCAGAAGTGGGTGGAGTGGGAAGAGCAGGAGGTGCAGGGGTAGGAGAAACATGGGAGGGAGCAAACGAGAAGGAAGGTGAGAAAAGGAGGTTGGGAGGGGAAGGCTCGAGAAAAAAGTGAGTGAGTTGGGAGGAGGGATGATGGCGGAGGGAGGGAGCAGGAGGGAAGGACAAGTGGAATAAGTGTTGGAAAACCCTCCATCACCCACCCCAATAGAAACCTCATAAACGCACCTCTTGGGCGGCTCAACGGTCATGGCTTCGAGCTCCAGCTGGCGGTCCCTCTCGGCAAACTCGTCCGTCTTGGAGTGGAACTTGAGGTCCTCCTGCACGATCTGGTAGTCATACGGGGAGAACCACCGCTGCAGCCTGGTGGGGGGGAAGAGGGATGGGCAACGCAGGGTAGGGCGCACAGGGAAGAGACGTATAAGGGGCGGTTGAGCCATGAGGAGTTTGGTCGTAGCTGTCTTGGGGTGGAACTTGAGGTCCTCCTGCACGATCTGATAGTCGTACGGGGAGACCCACCGCTGCAGGCTGGTGTGGGGAGAGAGAAGGGCAGGGCAGGGGAAGGGCGACGGAGGAGGGGAGGCGTGCATGGAATGAGTGTAAGGCGTGTAAGGAAACGACACGTTATGGGGCGGGATGTTTCAAAAAGAAAGACGGACTGGAGGAATAGTGTAGATCCTCTTTCAAGGTAAGGTTGTAACGAGAGAGGTGATGGGTGTAATGGAAGTGATGGGTAAGGCAGGGAGGCGAGGCAGGGCGGCAGGGCAGGGAGGCAGGGCAGGGAGGCAGGGCGGGGAGGCAGGGCACTGACCCATTGTAGAGGAAGTCGGGGAGGAGCGCAGCGATGGGCACGAGGAGGAGCGTGAGCCAGAAGTAGGCTGTTCCCATCACCGTGTAGATCACCCAGTACTGGTTCGACTGTAGGGGTGACCGGCATGGCACAGAGCGATGCAAGGGGAAAGCGGGGACAGAGAAGTGAGGAGGTGAAAACAGGGAGGAGAAAGCGGAGAGAGGGAAAGGGGAGAGGGGGAGAGAGGGCCAGTGGAAGCGGAAACAAGGAAAAGGAGGGGTAGGGGGGGAGCAAGATACAGCTAAGAACGACGGGGAACAAGGCAAGTGCACAATCCATCAATGTGCCGCCTTACACTCACAACAAAGACAACAGTCCACTGTTTCCCCACTCCCCTCCCTCACCCTCCCTCTTCCCACTCGCCTTTCCACACTTCCCATTCCCCACTGACCCTTCTCCTCTCCCCAATTCCCCCACGAGCCCACCCCAGCAAGCCCCTAGTTCCCCAGACCACACTGCAGCAACTGACCTGGGAGGAGTAGGAGGAGGTGGTGGAGGAGGGGATGGCGTCGTAGATGAGGATGAGCACGAACCAGAGCACGATGGACACCACCACGCTCACCCAGTGCCCTCCTCAACTCCCCCCTATCCCACCCCCCAATCCCAACCTCCCATTCCCAAAGCCCCGCCCCCAATCCCTCCTCCCCAACCCCCCCTCCCCAAATCCCGCTTCCCAAAACCCCCCTTCTCTCTCCCCTTCCTCCTTTCCACCAGCCCCACCACCCCCCAACACGGGGCTCACCTGGGAGGAGTACGAGGAGGTGGTGGAGGAGGGGATGGCGTCGTAGATGAGGATGAGCACGAACCAGAGCGCGATGGACACCACCACGCTCACCCAGTGCCACTTGGTCAGGAAGTCGCTCGCCATCAGCAGCCGCACGTTGATCGCTACAATCAGCGCTGCATATGTCATCGTACCTGAAGGACGGTGGCGCAAGGGGGGTGGGGGTGTGGGGAAGAAGGGTGGGAAAAGGGTGGGGAACGGACATAGAAAAAGAACACAAGGTCCCAGGGAACGTAGAGGACAGAGGGGGAAAGGGGGGGGAAAGGGAGGGGAAAGGGAGGGGGAAAGGCAGGGGAGGAAGGAAAGAACGTCAGTGCCACTGCGTCAGGAAGTCGTTAGCCATCAGTAGGCTCACATGTTGATTGGCACGATCAGGGCTCACATGTACCTGAAGGACGGAGCAAGAAGAGTGGGGGAAAAGTGTGGCGAAAAGGTTGGGGAAAAATGGAGGGAAGAGGGTGGAGAACAATCAGAGGAAAAGACCCAAATCACAAGCACGCACCGACCTCATGCCTCCCTCAAGTGTTCCTTATAAGCACACCTTTCATTCGCCTCAAGAGCACACCCCCCTTCTTCCCGTCCTCCCCCATCACGGATCCTAGCACCTCCATCCGAGCCACCTCCAAACATGAATAAGCAATGTATATATCCTACATGCACACGCACGCACTGATATCCCAGAGGCCGAACATGCACGCGCACGCACTGATATCCCAGAGGCCGAACATGCACACGCACGCACTGATATCCCAGAGGCCGAACATGACAAGTAGCCAAACTCCCACTCGCACTCCCACTCCCTCTCCCACTCCCACACACACACACAGGCGCACGCACCGATGTCCCAGAGGCCGAACATGAGGCCGCTGCTGCCCTGCGAGTTGGAGCCCGGCACCGCAGTGAAGAAGAAGAAGATGAGCGACTGGTAGACGGCGAAGAAGAGCCAGATGCCCAGCACGCCCCACGTGAAGAAGCGGTTCTTTATGCCGTCCCGGTACAGCTGCGGGTACAGCTTCGAGTGCCGGCGATCCACGTCCTGGGAGAGAGCAAGGGAGAGGGGGGGTGGGGGAGGGGAAAAGGGGGGGAGAGAGTGTGCGCGAGGGCAGGAGGGGGGCGAGTGTGCAGGGAGTGGGGAGAGGGAGGAAGAGGGGGGGAGGACACGCATAAACATGGAGAAGCATAGGTGCATGAAAGATGTAATGGAGTTCTACAGGGCGGAAAGTGGGAAAGGCAGGAACAAGAAAGGGAGGTGGGCGGGAGGGGAGGGAGAGGAGGGAGGGGGGGAGAGGAGGGAGTGGAGGGAGGGGAGTGCAGGCCTCCATTCAATCAAAAGACAACCATCACCATATTATGCACACAGCACCCACACGTACCTGCTCAAAGAGGCCGAGCACGATGACAGGCAGTGCAGTGAACAGCCCGAGCACAATGACAGGCAGTGCGGTGAACAGCCCGAGCACAATGACAGGCAGTGCGGTGAACAGCCCGAGCACAATGACAGGCAGTGCGGTGAACAGCCCGAGCACAATGACAGGCAGCGCGGTGAACAGCCCGAGCACAATGACAGGCAGCGCGGTGAACAGCCCGAGCACAATGACAGGCAGCGCAGTGAACAGCCCGAGCACAATGACGGGCAGCGCGGTGAACAGCCCGAGCACAATGACGGGCAGCGCGGTGAACAGCCCGAGCACAATGACAGGCAGCGCGGTGAACAGCCCGAGCACAATGACAGGCAGCGCGGTGAACAGCCCGAGCACAATGACAGGCAGCGCGGTGAACAGCCCGAGCACAATGACAGGCAGCGCGGTGAAGAGGACGTTGAAGGCGGACTGGAACCAGTCGTCATACAGGCGCTGCCCTGAGAAGAGAGCGACTGGCATGCAGCAGTGGCTACAGGTGATGGCGGGTAGCACCACCACCACTCACCACCGCACTACCCACCATCACCAAACCCCACCACCGCCACCACAACCACCATCAAATCCCCAAACCGTCACCATAACATAACCCACCTTCACTAAAGCCTCCCCGCCCCGGCCTCCATACCTGCTCGAACAGGCCGAGCACGATGACGGGCAGCGCGGTGAAGAGGACGTTGAAGGCGGACTGGAACCAGTCGTCGTACAGACGCTGCCCTGAGAAGCCCGCAAAGCAGTTGAACCAGAAGAGCGTGAGCGTGAACGCCAGGTTCTTGTAGAAGAAATACGCCACCACCTGGAGGGGGGGGGGAGAGGGGGGAGGCGAAGGGGGAGGAGAGGGGGGAGGCGAAGGGGGAGGCGAAGGGGGAGGAGAACGAGGAGGCTGTGAATGGGCACCATACATACATACATACATACATACATACATACATACATACATACATACATACATACATACATACATACATACATACATACATACATACATACATACATACATACATACATACATACATACATACATACATACATACATACATACATACATACATACATACATACATACATACATACATACATACATACATACATACATACATACATACATACATACATACATACATACATACATACATACATACATATGTATATACGTGAGAGGCGGAGGCAGGAGGGGAGACATGCCAGACCTTGGAAAGGTGGAGGCAGGAGAGGCGGCTGTGCACGAGCAGGAGGTCGGTGAGGAAGCAACTTCAGAGTCAAGGAGCTCAACAGCAACAGAAGAGAAGACCAACAACACAACAAAAAACCCACCTTGGAGAGGCGAAGGTACGACAGCCTTCCGTGCACGAGCAGTAGGTCGGTGAGGAAGCGGAACTGCGCGATGGCAAAGTCAGAGGCGAGCACGGCCTGAATGCCCTCCTGCCCGCTGATGCCCACTCCCACGTGCGCCGCCTGGATCATGCTCACGTCGTTGGCGCCGTCGCCTATGCTCAACGTCACCTTGCCTGCTCCGTCCCTCATCAGCGCCGTCACCTGAGGGGAAGAGGGGGTAGGGGAAGCGGGAGGGGTACGGGAAGCCAAAGGAAAAGGCAGAGGGGGTTTTGAGTCGATTTAACCCGTCCCCTATGCTCAACGCCTGCTTGCCGGCCCCGTCCCTCATCAGTGCCGTCACCTGGTGGGAGGGAGGAGGGGGAGAGCGGGACGGGAGTGGACGAGGGGACAGGAGCAGAGAAACGGGTAGGTGCAGCTTTGAACTGGCTCGAGAAATGGAGCACTAGAGAGCGGGTGGACGAGAAAAGGATCACATGGAAGGGAAATATAGGGCAAGATAGGGGCGGCGGGGGGGGGGTTGGGGGTGGGGTTTTGGGGGTGGGTTTGGGGGGAGAAGGGGAACTTACGAACAAGCTATTTCAGACACGAGAGACGTGTAGGAGGGGAAATGAAAGGATGGTGACAGACGAAAATGGGGAGAGGCAAGGGAAAGTACAGCATCATAGTTCAAGAAACATCCCACCTCGGCCTCATCCCTCTACCTCACCAACCTTTCTCAGTTCTCCTTCCAGAACCTCCCACGCTCCGCGTTCCCCTCCCTCCCCCCCTCATCCCCCCAATCTTTCCCTCCTCCCCTCGCACCTGTGCCTTCTGCAGGGGCGACACGCGGCAGCACACAACGGCCTTGCAAATGATGCCCAGCTGCAGCAGCGTGCCGCGCATGAGCGGGTCCAGGGCGTACATGAGGCACCGCCCGTCGATCACCAGCGCACACGGGTACCCCTCACGATCGATCACCACGGCCTGGCGAATGGCGTCCCTCAGCTGCTGGAAGACCGACTCTCTGATGACTCTCGCCGTGTCCACTGGGTCGCCCTGGAGACGGAGGGGGAAGAAGCAGAAGGGAAGGAGGAGGGGAGAACAGGAGGGAAAGAGGAAGGGACCAGGAGGGAAGCGCGGGGGGGGGAGCAGGGAGCGGGGAGAGGGAGGAAGAGTGTCAAGTGTGGAGAATGCCTTGCGGTACACGGGTACCCCTCGCGGTCAATCACCACGACCTGGCGAATGGCGTCCCTCAGCTGCTGAAACACCGATTCGCGAATCACCCTGGCCGTGTCGACTGGGTCGCCCTGAGGGGGGAAGGGGAGGGGAACGGGAGAGGAGGAGGAAGGGAGCAGGAGGGGAAACGGGAAGGAAAAGGCAGGGAGTGGGGAAAACAGAGGAAGGTATCAGGTGCCTTGAATGGCGTCTCTCAGCTGCTGAAAGACCGACTCGCGAATCACCCTGGCCGTGTCCACTGGGTCGCCCTGAGGGGGAGAGGAGGACGGGAGAGGAGCAGGAGGGGAGCAGGAGGGAAAGATGAGGGAAAACGGAGGGGAAACCGAGGAATAGGGAAGGGTAAGGGAGAGGGAGAGAACGAGTAAGGGACCAGCAAGCGACAGGCAGCGGCAGCAGCAAGGAGGTGGAACACAGGACAGGAGGGAGAGAAAGAAAGCGAAAGAGAACGAGAAGGGAGAGAGAGGAGCACAGGAAGGGGGGGGGGGACATACCCGTTCCTCAACCTCTCGAATGATGTCCGTCTCACTACTGATGATGAACTGCTTCATCTGGTTCTTGAGCAGCATGCACGCTGCATGCCACCACATGAGCACGGACAGAGGCATGGGGAGGGGCAGGGGCAGGGGCAGCGGCAGGGGCAAGGGCAGGGCCAAGGCAGGGACAAGGGCAAGAAAAAGCAGGTGGCGTGTGAGAGAAAACAGGGCCAGAGCAATCAAGGGCGCACACTCAGAAACAACACACCCCACTCGGTCCACTTTCAACCCCCACCCTCCACAACCTCCCCCTTCTCCCCTCAACCCCTCAAGCTGCAACTCCAATCAGCGCCCTCCTTCCCTCCATCTCCTTTCCCTCCTCCTCCTTTCCCTCCTTCCCCCACTGAACACCAGTCACCTCCCCTCCCCCACCCCAACCCCACCACACGCACCATACGCAATGTTGATAGCAGTTTCCATCTTATCCCCAGTGAGAATCCAGATCTTGATCCCGGCCTTCTGCAGCGTCTCAATGCACTGCGGCACGCCCTCCTGGAGCTTATCCTCGATCGCAGTGCACCCCAGCAGGATCAAATCCCTCTCAATCATCTCCGCAACCTCATCCAGCCGCTTCTCCCGCTCCCTGAGGGCCGACTTGGCCTGGATGAAGCGCTCGTTCCACTCCTCGTACAGCGCGGGGGGGAGTTCCCGGTACGCCAGGCACAGCGTGCGCAGCCCGTCCGCTCCAAACTTCTCCAGGTGCTCGCGCGTCATGTCCTTGTGCGGGTTGGCGTCCTCTGAGAGCCGCTCGTAGATCGTCACGTCAGCGCCCTGTACAGGGAGAAGCAGGTGCCAGGAGGGAGGAGGGAAGAGGGAGGAGGGAAGAGGGAAGAGGGAAGAGGGAGGAGGGAAGGCAAAGGTATGGTCTCCAGGTGCTCGCGCGTCATGCCCTTGTGCAGATTGGGCTCCTTCCAAGAGTCCCTCAAAGACCATCACGCAGTCCGTCGCATGAGAACCTCAACCCTACGTCCCAACACCCCTCCCCCCCTCCCTCCCTCCCACCCCTCCCATCCGCTGCTTTCACCTTGCAGTAGAGCAAGATGCGGCCATCAGGGCAGCGGCATCAGAAGCCTCATCCCATGCCCAGCCCAACCCTCACTCCCCTCCCCTCCCCTCCCCTCCCCTCCACACTCCTCCCTTTCCTCACCTTGCAGTAGAGCACTATGCGGCCATCAGGGCAGCGGCAGATGACGGACTGGCGCTTGCGCATGGAGTTGAACTCGAGCACGTTCAGCACCTCGTACTCGCAGTCCTGCACGCGCCCCAGCCGCTCCACGTGCGACTCCCGCACCTTGATCGTCGTGGGCGTGCGCCTGGAGGGAGGCAGGCAAGGTTGTGACGAGACGGAAAGGGAAAGGAGAACCACCAGGACAGACTCAAAAAGCGACTCAGCCATTCCACGTGAGACTCCCGCAGCTTGATCGTCGTGGGGGTGCGCCTGGAGGCGGGTGGAGGTAAGGGTTTTGGGAAAGGGGGATGGGGAACGGGGGGAGGAGGGTGGGGAGGAGGGAAGGGAGAATTATTTAGTCAGGGCGAAGGAGCCCCCAGCCGCTCCACGTGCGACTCCCGCACCTTGATCGTCGTGGGGGTGCGCCTGGAGGGGGGCAGGCAAGGTTGGGGGAAAGGGGACAGGGGACAGGGGAAAGGGGACAGGGGAAAGGGAAAGAGGAAAGGGAGTGCCATCAGGGCAGACTTAAAACGACCCAGTCACTCCACATGCGACTCAACTCATCTCCCGCATCATAATCGCCGCGGGGGTGCATCCGAGGGCGAGCGGAGGTAGGGTTTGGCGAGAAGAGAGACGGAAGAGAGATTTGATTGAGATGTCTCATAGATTGCCTCGTCAGGCAGCACTCAAGCCATGCAGCACGCTCAGCAGCATGCACCTCAATCTCCCCCAGCTCAACTAACCCCACATCAACTGGCCTGGTCACACCCCAACTGCGCCCCACCTTAACTAACCCCCACCTCAGCTGGCTCCACTCCACATCAACTGCGCCACGACCAGCAACTCACCGGTAGAAGAAGAAGCCAAAGTTCTTAGCAGCAGCCACCATGGCAGCCTCGTCGGGCGAGGCAGCGAGGTACTCGATCTCCTCTGGGGACTCCTCCCCCTCTGGCAGCACCGTGTGACAGATGGCCAGCAGCCGGAAGAACTCCTGGCATGGGGAGAGGGAGGGAGCGGAGGGAGCGGAGGGAGCAGAATGGACGGGAGAGAGAGGGGGGGAGAGCGAGCAGAGTCATGACGGAGTGAGGAGAGGAGAAAGAAGCTGGTACATGCAAGCGGGCGCATGGGCAAGGCAAGGCATGAGGAGGGACAGCAAGGGTCGCGCAGCTGCACCTGTATCCATGCTTCCATGCTTCCATGCAACCGCGGACGGATGAGTATGTGCTTATGTGACCCAGCATCAAAATCTTACCCTTCTCCCCCAACCATGCAATCCTTCCTCCATCCCTTCTCCCCCAACCATGCAATCCTTCCTCCATCCCTTCTCCCCCAACCTTACTCTAATCCACTCCCTCTCTCATCCATTTTCTGCCCCATCCCAACCCCAACCCCTCCCCATCCCAACCCCTCCCCCCCCAGCATGTGCGCACGCACCTTGCAGATCTCAGCGGTAGGTTCGTTGCGCCATGCACCCCGCAGCAGGCGCTTGTCGTCAAAGTTGAACCCTCGGTCCTTGAACGGATCATCTGATCCCGTCGGTTTCTGCACATCAACGATGGGCAGGGACGAGGGACGAGGGAGGTGAATTTTTCATGTTTGCGGCACCTCGAGAATAGACCACCCCGCAGCAGGCGCTTGTCGTCAAAGTTGAACCCTCGGTCCTTGAACGGATCATCCGACCCTGTCGTTTTTTGCAGATGGAAGGAGAAGCAACGAGGGACAAGGGAAGAGGGACGAGAACAGGGCAGTCAATAAACAACAAAAAAAGGGCCTAACAAGGAGAAATCGCACAGGTCAACGGGGGGGAAAGTGGTGGGGCATCAAGAGTGAGACATGCTGAAATGGATTTCAGAACTTTCTTTCTCTTCGTCATCAAAGAAGAGCCTTTCCAAAGAGCAAGAGAGAAGTGACGGGCAGGGCATCTCACCAGAGGAGACACCTCTGCCTGGGACGCCTTGCGGTCTTGGTACATGGATGCGGGGTCCTGCACACACAACACACACAACACAAACAGGGCCGCACAAGGAGCAAGGCGGCACATGGCACAGGTCAGCACAAGCGGAAAGGCAAGGACGGGCTGCCTGCCCCATGCGCAGCGCATGGCGCGCCGAATCTCCGTGACGCCCGTGCCCTCCCCACCCTGTCCTGCCCCACCCTCACCTCTTAGAACACCATCCCTACATATAAATTGGCCCCCACTCTCTCCGCCCCAACCGCGCGCACCTCCTGGATGGGCTGCCCCATGCGCAGAGCCATGGCGCGCTGGATCTCCGTGACGCCCGTGCCGTACAGCGTGCCACCGATGGAGCACTTGAAGAACTCCATGGTGTTGCGCGTCAGCGTGCCCGTCTTGTCCGAAAAGATGTACTCCACCTTGGGGTGTGCACGCGGGGAGAGAGGGGGTCAGTGGGGAACAGCAGGGGACAGAGGGGCAGCGGGGTCAGCAGAAGCAGCAGGGGACAGTGGAAAACAGTGGGGGGGCAGCAGGGGGTGCAGAAGATAAACTGCACCTGGGGGTTGGGAGTGAGCGTGGGCACACACAGGTGATTCACACCACTACCTTCCTCGACAGAGCCACACACACATGCAAGGAGCAAGCATACAACCTTTTAACCCGCCTTCCTACCTGCCCCAGCGCGCCCACCGAGTGCAGTGCAGCGTACCCACCCAGCCCAACTACCCCAGCACACCCACGCACGCACGCACCTGCCCGAGCTCTTCATTGAGGTTGGAGGTGCGGGCGAGGGCGGGCGTCTGTGTCTCTCTGTGGAACATGTGCAGGTCCTTGTTGATAAACTGCGTGCTCTGCACAAACTTTATCATCTGTGCGAGGCAACGGGCGTGCAGCAGGGAAGGAAAAGAGATGGGATGGCGAGCTAGAGTGACGTGAAAACATATGAGACGCGCGAGAAAAAAGCAACAGCGAGGAGGGAAGTGTCGTGAAGATGACCCCGCTGTGGCCGAGCCAGCCCACTGGCACAGCCTCAGCGTGTCATTGCATAGCCTTCACTGCATAGCCGTCACTGCATAGCCTTCACTGCATAGCCTTCACTGCATAGCCTTCACTGCATAGCCTTCACTGCATAGCCTTCACTGCATAGCCGTCACTGCATAGCCTTCACTGCATAGCCTTCACTGCATAGCCGTCACTGCATAGCCTTCACTGCATAGCCGTCACTGCATAGCCTTCACTGCATAGCCTTCACTGCATAGCCGTCACTGCATAGCCTTCACTGCATAGCCTTCACTGCATAGCCGTCACTGCATAGCCGTCATTGCATAGCCGTCACTGCATAGCCTTCACTGCATAGCCGTCACTGCATAGCCGTCATTGCATAGCCGTCATTGCATAGCCGTCACTGCATAGCCGTCACTGCATAGCCGTCACTGCATAGCCGTCATTGCATAGCCGTCACTGCATAGCCGTCACTGCATAGCCGTCACTGCATAGCCGTCACTGCATAGCCGTCACTGCATAGCCGTCACTGCATAGCCGTCATTGCATAGCCGTCACTGCATAGCCGTCATTGCATAGCCGTCACTGCATAGCCGTCACTGCATAGCCGTCATTGCATAGCCGTCACTGCATAGCCGTCACTGCATAGCCATCACTGCAGCTCTGCCAATGGGGATGCGCCCCTGACTGACCTCAACAGACACTATTGAGAATTCTCAAAAGTAATTTCAACATATCTGCCAATGGTGATGCGCCCCTGTGTGACCCTGACTGACCTCAATGGACATGTAAAGCGAGATGCGGATGATGGTGGCGTATAGGATGAAGAGCGTGAGGAAGGTGAGCGAGCCCTGAGGGATCTCACTAGCTCACCACACCAGCACAGCCTGAGCGGGTTACTGCACCGCTGTCACTGCCCTTGAGACCCTGACTCACCTCGATGGACACGTAGAGAGAGATGGGGATGATGGTGGCGTATAGGATGAAGAGCGTGAGGAAGGTGAGCGAACCCACCTGCACACACATGGGGCGGAGAGTGGGGAGCGCGCAACGCAAGGGAAAGAGAGGAGGAGGGCGCAGAGGGGAGGTGCTTGAGAAGGTATACACACAAAATCCAACAGGACCTAGCTGGTCATATTTAGGGGAAGGAGCGATAGACAGGTGAAGGAAGTGGGGAGGCGACAGAGGAGAAAGGAGATGGGAGAAGAGAGGGGACAGTAGAACTGGGAAAAAGGAAAGGGGGACGGATGCAAATAGGCCGGAATCCACAAAAAGAATGCCACTTGAACTTTGCATGGCATTGACAGGAAAGCAGACGGCAGATGCAGATGCAGGGATGGAGCAGGGAGAGGCCACATACCGCCCAAGGGTTACTCGGGTCATACTGCGGCTGGCTGTCTGTGAGCTGCAGGTACCACTCATTGTAGTCCAGGAACATGGCACTGCGGCGAGGGGGGGAAGAGGGCATCAACGGGGAAGGTTGGGAGGGGAGAGGGGAAGGTGAGCGGTTGATGATGGCTTCTCATTGCTGTCCGTGAGCTGCAGGTACCACTCGTAGTAGTCCAGGAAGATAGCACTATGGCGAAGGGGTTGGACATGGGGTGCATCAGCAGGGAAGAGTCAATAGTAGGGGAGGGTGGGAAAGGGGAGGGGGTATGTCAGATGACGTCTCAACTCCCTTGTGCTGTCTGTGAGCTGCAGGTGCCACTCGTTGTAGTCCAGGAAAATAGCACTGCGGCGAGGGGGGGGGCAACGGGTGGAGCTGAATGATGAGACGAGAGGGAAGTCGACTCGACATTCGTGTGATGAGCCGATTCTCTACGCCCACAGAGCACCGAGAGCACCGAGAGAAGAGAAAACAGTGAGCACAGCAGAGCACAGCAGAGCACAGCAGAGAACAGCAGAGCACAGCAGAGCACAGCACCTGTGCATGCGCACCTGGCGATGGCGCCAATGAGGCACATGGTGAAGAGGATGAGGATGACCAGGTCCATGCGCCTCTCCAGCGCACACCCAACACATAGACAGGCAGCCAGCAGCCCACAGCACAGCGCACAGCACAGCAGAGCACAGTGGATCACAGAGCGCACACACAGCACACAGCACCCGCACGCACGCACCTGGCAATGGCGCCGATGAGGCACATGGTGAAGAGGATGGCGAAGAGGATGAGGATGACCAGGTCCATGCGCCTCTCCAGTGTGCTGCGCTTCGATGGCACGTCCATGGCGTTCATCATCACCTGCATGCACCACCACCACCACCACCGCACATCACCGCACGTCACCGCAAACGCATGGGGTTGGGGGAGGAAAAGGAGAATGAGGGAAGAGGAATACCTCCTGCGGTTCAACAGAAACGCCCATCGCGCGTTCAGCATCACCTGTGCCATTCATGGACCAGGGGAGGGGGAACGGAGGGGAGGAGAGGGTGAGAGCGGGGGGTAGTGGAGAGAGCTTCGGCTTTGAATCGGGCTACCTCACAGTTGACAACACACTCTTAGGAACACGAGCACAAGCATGGTGGGGATGAGCTGGGGAGGAGGTGGGAGGGACGGAGGGAGGGTGAAAAGAGGAGGAACCGTTGGACGCTGTGTAACAGGTCATGACGATGCATACCTTGGTCTCATGGCCTGTGAATATGACAGCGCCCACGATCCACTCTGTGTTGCGCAGACTGCACCCCTGTAGCGTAACAACAGGGGGAGACGCGAGGATAACACCCAGGCAAAAGTGAGGGACAGGAGAGACGGGAAACGCAGGAGATACAAGTGAATGGATATGAGTTCGCTCAGAAAGGAGACGCTGGAGCAAGCTGAATGAATGGCAGGACAGCAGACAGCAGGTACAGGACAGCAAGCAGCAGAGAGCAAGTGACCAGCGAGCACGTGGGCAGAGAGCAAGGGAGCAAGTGAGAGCGAAGTAGGCAGAGTGGGCATGTGTGCGTTCGTGCGTACTCGGAGCAGCATCTGGTTGGGCGAGATGGGCAGGGTCTGCTTGCCGATGACCAGGTTGCCCGTGAACGTGTAGAGCGAGTTGTTGGGCTGCTCACACTCCACCATGGCTGCCCACGGCGGATGGAAGGATGCATGGCATGGAATGAAAGGGATGGATGGAGCGAACGGACTGAAGGGCAGTAGTATGGAAGAGTGAACAATTTTTTTGACGCGCCTCGAAACTAGTGCGGGTTGTTGGGCTGCTCGCACTGGACCATGTGGCTGCCCACAGCCTGGTGCAGCAGGGATGCATGGATGGAATGTACGGAATGACCGGAATGCCCGGATTCACAAGGGCAGTGGAACGAAAGAGTGAATGGATGCATGGATGGGTGCACGGATGGGCGAACGTATGGAAGGAACCAATGTGGGGTTGACAGGACAAGGGAGGGAGAGGGGTGCGGTGATCGCGAAGACGGGGGCGAGGAAAGGACGAACAAGGAAGAGGATGGGGAGTGACGAGATTAGGAGGAATAAGGCAGGGACAAACGGGCAAGGAGAAAAATGGGCAGGGAGAAAATGAAAAGCGTCCCACCTCAGTCATGACAATAAGCCATCATTGCCCATCCCCACTCCACCCCTCCATCACATCACATCACATCACATCACATCAGCATGACACGCCATCACAGCTGCTTCATGTCATCATCCCACACACACGCCATCAACCCCGTCACCAACTCCAGCGCGCATGCTCGCACACACTCACATGCACGCATGAGCACGCACGCGCACGCACACATGCACGCACACACACGCGCGCGCGCGCACACACACACACACACACACACACACACACACCTCGCAGGTCAGCAGCAGCGTCCGCAGTGATGTACTCCCATGTGCGCTCCAGCGCCTTGCGGATCTTCAGATTGGTCTCTCCGTCCAGGTTCGACGTCTGCCATGTGCACACAGCACACAGGAGACCCAGCACACCCAGCCCACAGCGAGCAGCCCACAGCAAGGTGAGTTTCCTTCAGAGAACAAAATACACAAGCAAAGGACGATCGAGACACTCCTTCACCACGGGCACAGCACAGCACAGCACGAAATCACAAGCGAGGGAAAGCAACGCCAGCAATCTCCGGGCCAATGCACTTTTCCCTCCCCCTGGCTCTGCCTTGCCACCACCACATAACAGGCTCCACTTCCAAAATCTTATGCCCTCGTGTCCTTTCCAATTTTCTCAACAGTGTTTCAAACTCAAGCCCTCGTGGCCTTCCCTTCCCCCTTCCATCCCTCCCCTCCATCGCGTCCCTAAAAATCCACCCTTCTTTCCCTCTTCTTCCCACTTCCGCCTCCTTTCCTCTTCCGCCTCCCTTCCCCTACCGCCACCCTCTCCCCCCTTTACTCCCAGCTGCCACACCTCTTCCCCCGCGCCTCAACGAGGGATAGGGACAAGGAAGGACAGAAGGGGGCTTACCTCAATGTAGCAGATGCCGTCTCCGTTGGTGGTGGCGAGGCACAGCAGATCCGCGGGGAAGTACTGGTCCGACTTCACCTGTACTCACAGCAGCGCCGTGGTAACACCATCACCATCACCATCACCATCATCATCATCATCATCATCATCATCATCATCATCATCATCATCATCATCATCATCATCATCATCATCATCATCATCATCATCATCATCATCATCATCCTCATCATCCTCATCATCCTCATCATCCTCATCATCCTCATCCTCATCATCCTCATCATCCTCATCATCCTCATCATCCTCATCATCCTCATCATCCTCATCATCCTCATCATCCTCATCCTCATCATCCTCATCATCCTCATCATCCTCATCATCCTCATCATCCTCATCATCCTCATCATCCTCATCATCCTCATCATCCTCATCATCCTCATCCTCCTCATCCTCCTCATCCTCCTCATCCTCATCCTCATCATCATCATCATCATCATCATCATCATCATCATCATCATCATCATCATCATCATCATCATCATCATCATCAGCAGCAGCAGCAGCAGCAGCACCAGCACCATCATCAGCACCATAATCACCACCACCATCACCATCACCATCAACAGCAGCAGCACACAGTCAGAATGAAAGCCATGGAAGCATGGAAGCGTTAGCATGGGAGATAGGAAAAAGAGGCAGGCAGTCTGGGAGGTGCCGGGGAGGGAACAGATGGCAAAAAGCGAGGGGCCTTCGAACGAGGGGGAAGGGATGGGGTGGGGGAAAAGGGGGTGGGTGCGAGGGAGTTGGGAAAAGGGGGCGCAGGAATGTGGGTGCGTGGCTTCAACGGCTGCGTCCAGCGCGGTGGAGAGCAGTGCAAGACGAACGCACGCACGCACCCGTAGAATGTCGCCGACGCGCACAGCACTCCAGGGCGTTTGGATCCACTGGTTGCCTCGCAAGCACTCCGTGATGCTCGAGTTGATCACCTTGTCGCTGTTGTACCGCTTCTGCTCCACGCCGCACACACAGGAGAGACGGTTGTGATGAGAAGAACAGACGTGAGAGGGTGAGAAACTGGCAAAGGGCGAAAGATCTTGGCGCAAAGGGATGAACGAGAAAGACAAAGAGAGAGCAGAAACGAGGAGAGCGGGGAGAAGGGAGGGGAGTAGGGGAGTGGTAACAAGGTTGGAAGGCTGGAAGGGGAGAAGAAGCAGACTGACCCTGTCTTCAAACGCTTCTTTGATGAGCGAGACCATGAGCACGAGCACGAGCGGCAGCACGTTGGTAATGGGGTTCACCGGACTGGTGAGGTGTGCAGCGGAGTGCAAGGGAGAGCAGGGGAGTTCGGGGGGGTGCGAGGGAGTGCAGGGAAGTGCAGTGGATAAAGATCAGTACACGGCAAGGAGCACACAGCACGGGCAGCGCAAGCACGAACAGGGCTCGCTCGGCACGGGACACCAACCAGCCAGCGGGACCACGTAAACATGGTTCGCAGTGGGATTCTGGTAACTAAGCAGAAGGCAAGTGTAGGGCGAGTGTACTCGAATGGCAAGACTAAATGTGGGGCTCAACGGAACAACCCAGACTCGCGACTCAAATGTTGCTGAATGCTGCATTCTTTCTTGGGTTTCTGAGAGCTGGCTATTGGAAGCATGGCTGAAGAAAAAAACAAAAAGATGACCTGAATCGAGACAGGAAATGCAGGCTCCTAGAGCCGCCGCAAGAGCTATCCGCGCAGCTCACAGGCACTAGATTGAGGGGCGGCTTTCACGCGTTTCCACGAGGGATTTCAGGGAAGGGAATGTGGACTGACCTGACGGGCGTTGTGGAAAGAATGGCGATGAGAAGGAAGTACAGGTTGGCGACTCTCCGGAACTGCAGGACAGCAGCAACAGCCACGGCAGCAACGGCAGCAACGATCGGAAAAAGCACGGCGCGGACAAACGCCGACAGTGGTTGTGGCGACAGTGGAGACGACGGTCGCGGCGACAGTTGCGCAAGTAGTAGCGACAGTAGTTGCGACAACAGTTGGCACAAAAGTGGCACAACAGTGCGGACGACAACCGTCGGAACAGCAGTTGCGACAACAGGCGCGAGAACAACAACAGAAACAACAAGCGCAGAGAAAACACAAAAGACCACATGAGTATTCAATACACCACACGACACGGCACGCATCAACACCACACCACCCCTCGACCTGCTACGTTCCCTTCCCATTCCTCCCCTGCGTCCCTATCAAACCACTACTCTTCACTCAGTTTAACGTTCCGTCGTCCTTCTTGGACGGCTCTAGAATCAAGTAACAGAGCACGCTAAACACTTGCGCACCTCGCCACACCAATTCTACATCGCCCCTGGAAGGCAGAAACAGCGCGTCTTAAAAACAAGCGCCTGGTCAGCTCCGCTACCGCCGGAAATGGTCAAGTCGAATCTCGCCAGAATCATAGCGCAACATAATCACGCCATCCGGCGACAATCTACGTTTGAGAGATCATCATAATCAAGGAGCCGACGAAAAAAAACTCTTCAAACATACTCGAGACCAAAATCTCGACGCATGGATTTGTAGATATCAGCCTACCCGACTCGTGAAATTATTAGCTGGATTTCCTAGACCGTTGGCGCCAGAAAGACAAGATCTTATCTTCCTGGGTAAATTGCTCCTTCGACGGATCGTAAGGATCACAGTATCAAGCAGCCTCGCAGAAAGGAAACCCTTGACGTAGGCTAGATTCCGCTAGTGTTCTCGTCTTCAGTGTTCTCAAACGTATGCTACATTCTCTGTACGTTGATTCGTTGCGAAACCACTAACGCAACAGCGACGACGGCGGGAAAGCAAGAGTGACGGGTAGGAAAGGGAAGGAATTCGGTGACTGAACACACCTGTTCGAAGAGGCCTTTTGGGAGAAAAGTCAAAAACGAGTACTTGGTGGTTGAGACGGCGTTGTTCTGCCAAACAGCGAGGGGAACGGGAGAACAACGGAGATGAAAGTGGAATATTACAACAAGAATTATGCTGGAAAACCAAGCGAGAGATAACGAATAACAAAACACAGCACTTCGGGCGGTCGTGTACGAGCAAGTCATTTCAAAACTACGTGGACAAAAAAACGTCAGAGAATGGTAAGAACGGCGCGGCATCACAACCTGAGATTCATCTGCGCCATACAATAGCAGTACCGACAAATAATCACTCTGAGACACTGTGAGGAATACAGTGATTGGAAGAATAGGAAGTAAGTATTACGGCGAGCGAAACTGCAAAGATCGACAAGGTCAGCTCTGGCAACGTGAAGACTTGACGATGGCAGATTTATGCTGGCAGACGAGTCAGTACAGCAGCCACGATGAGGTGCGGAACGAAGGCAAGCGAACCTTGTACTGCTGATGAGCGTGTGACCGCGGGTCGTTCACGTTGACCGTGCGATGGCTTCCCCCGTGTGCCATGCTTCCCCTGTGCGTCGGGCTCCGAAGCGGATTCGTCGTGTCATCGCGCTCGTACATCAATCGCCCGAATCTAAACGGATCAAACCGTTTTAGCCTCATGGTTCCTAATTTCTATATACTTTTGAAGTGTGCTTTGCCGGACAACACTATGACAGAAGACGGCGGTGAATCCTGCAAACACGCACGACTAAACCATATGGTATACGCGCCGTCTAAAACTAGTTCATGAAACACCGTCGTAAGTTAAGCCAGGAACTAAGGTCTCATGGATCCATCACACGGGTGTCGGACGACAATCCCATTGTAGGTGAATTCGGCGAGTTGACGATTCGCTCTAGGCACGACTGCTTCAACCAGGGAATGTCCAAATCAAAGAAGCTTTGCTTGCAACCTAGCAGTACGCAAGCACAAAGAGGGTTGTGTGTGAATCTCCCGTGAGGTTGGAAAGCTAACAAAAGGAAGCAAGAGTGGCTGGTGAAAAAACAAGTGATCCCGAACTGGTTGGAATACAACTGAGGTGATTCTGTGTGCGAGAGATTGCGGCTTTTGGTAGAAGTGCGGAGTTGGTTTCTAACCATTGCCCGCTGCCCGAAGCGGAGTTTCCCGCTGCCCGCTTCCCGTCCCTCCCTACCTTCCATGCACTTGCGATTGCTTGCTCTCACCAGAGGAAGATCCTGCCCCGCTTTTTCCGGTGTGGTATGGGATGGCTCAAACCCGGGCAGAACTGTCATGCCGAAGCAGGTGAATGGTCGCTCCGTCGCATACCAAATCTCTTCCCTAACCAAGACTATTGGTTGGTGTGAGTCACACCAACACTATCTTGTCGCATATGGCATGCGTGGTCGTCGGGTTGCGACTGTTGGACGACAAGAGAGCTGCGGTCTACTGCGCCCTGCCAGGGGCCGACGACAACCCCCAAACCCTTGGAAACGTCGCATCCATACGAAGTTGCGGCTAGGAGGAGAAAGGAACGCATGAAGGCCCTCTTTCGTAATTACCGTCGCGGATTTTCGCAGACATTGATGGTTGTGCCGTGAGCGCTCCGCCAGATCACCGTCAGTCAGCCCACCGTTGTCCTCACCGCAGAACGATGGGACTTTCGCGCGCGCTTTTTCAATTGTTGGTCTACTGACAAGAGCCTGCAGCACCCAACCTAGGCAGATGTGCAGCATGGTTCGCTGTGTGGCTGGAGCCTGAAAGTGCAGTAGAGTTGACTGTGATACATGTGCAAAGCTGGTTAGGCTCTAGCCTTAGGGAGTGTAAAATCCCCGCAAATTTGCGAAATTCGACGGATTGGTCGACTTCGTGTCGTCACATTTACAGCCACTATTTGCAGATTTGCAAACTTTACAGGTTTGAGGGCCGAATTTCAGACAGGTTTCAAAAAGTTGTAAAATTTGCAGTTGCTACAGTCGGAACGTATGTGCGACGGGGTCGTACATTTGACGGCGAAAACTCTGATTGGACAGAATTAAAAAAAAAAAAATTCAATCATTCTGCGAGACCATGCGACGTCGTACGTGACAGTCGCTCACAGTGTCGACTACTTGGCCGAATTGGAGTCGACATGGTGTCGGATACGAGTCGATTTTCAAAACGGCCATCAATTTCGTTCTTTATTGGCGAAATTAACGACGGTCGCGAGCGTCTTCGAATTTTTCTCAAACGCGTTACTTTCGCCAATTCGGTCATTAGGCTAGTGGCCGAATTTTTAGGTGCGGCGATTTTACACGCCCTTAAGTCCACTAAAGGATATCATAGGATGCCGAGGGAACTTGGCAGGAGATTCTGGCTTACAAAGCAGTGAAAAATTAATGGGGGAAACATTGGGCAGATATTTACTATATAGGTGCAAATAATCAATCCTTAAAAAACCTACAAAGAAAGCATGTTGGAGTCAATATACGGTATATATACACAAATGCATGTGTATTCTCTAGGCTAGGTTGGGTTGCACTATGGAGGGTACGGGCTTGCTATATATAGCCCCTCTGTATGCCCTCGATCCTCATTCATTCAGTTATTGTCATCCTCAAGGCTAGGTTTCTCGCTTCATACCCCTCAAACTGCCCTCCTTCATGGCCCTCTCTAGTCATCCCCTATAGCGCCCTCTAGTGGCCCCCTCAGCACTGCTGCCTGTTGCCGCGTCTACATTCGCGGTTAATGGTTTAGAGTTTGGCTTAGCCTGCTTGCCTCGGACTATCTCCTCCTCCAATTCTGGCTGTCCCCTCTCATACACTGTAGCTGTGTTGTTAACGGGAGTGGAGTGTTGGCCCCGCCCTCGCTTGGGCAACCCCGACGACTTGGTCGGATGTACGGGAGTAGCAAACGACTATTCACAGTGGGAGAGCTGTTCGGCAGGCTTCGTCGAGCTGCAGGGGACCGCTATGGTGTCGAGTGACTCTCCGCATGTGTCCATGCTGACTCCTAATATGGTGTCTGGCTTCGTCTTACGGCTCAAATCGGAGGGGCTGGTGATTGATTTTGACGCATGCTTGCTTTACATCCAGCTCAACGTGCAGAGCCAGCGCCAAGAAAACGTCTACATGTACGTCCACGTGTCGGGTCAGCTACCTGCCCCGAGCGACGCTTCCTGCATTTACTGTTCAGTCCACCTCAGGGGAGCGGGAGGCTCACAACATGATCCAGCATGAGTGCTATGTTTGGGTGTTGCATGATACTTCCGCGCGCCTTGTTCTTAGTCGCCTCCTGCCACCGACCGAGCAAGTGCACTTTCGAGAAGTCGCGACAGCGACAAAGTATCCGGATGTTGTTGTTGCTCGCCGCACCACCCCCTCTTATTACATTCTAGGGCGCCTCGTCATGCCTTTCCTCTTCCATGCTCTCCCTACGTTATCCACGGTCGATGACCTCGTTACCCACCTACTCTTGCTTGACTCTAGTTTTCGCGCTGCTTGGACTGCTGACGACCTTTCTGAGCATGCCCACCCCATGTATCTCACATTGCGCCTTCTCAGGACCCGCCTCCTTGACAACTTCGTTCCTACACGCGACACCCTCCTCGCCGTGCACCCCATGCGCCACATTCTCGATCTCTTAGAGACTAGTCTCACTAAAATTGAGACCCGACTATGCACCATCGTCTTCACCACTGGTGCTGTGGTCCTCCCCATCTTTGAGGGGTACGCTCCGCCCCAACTCCCTACCTCAGCCCTCTCCGCTGTTGTTGCTGAGGTTGTAGTTGTTGCTGCCCCCTCTAGTGGGCGGGGACGGCGCACGGGTGGTCATGGTTATGGAAGAGGTGGAGGTGTTGGTACGTTGGGGGGTAATGACGCTGGGAGTGTTGTTTCTTAGGCATGAAGTGTTGGTACTGGGGTTGCGACATTCACATTACAGCAACAGCTGCACTACCAGTAGCCGCATCATCATCAGCAGTAGACGAAGCAAGAACAAATTCAGCAGTGGGTCTCCCAACGGCAGTAGGGAGTGCTGGCCCAGGGAGTAGTGGCAGCGGTAGCGGGTCTGACAGTTCGGCAACGCGTGGCCTCCCCTACAGGGCCCTACCAGTACCAAATTCAAGTCCTCTTCACGATCTCGTCATCAGGCGCGCCGCCCACTCCACTGCCCGCCGCTTCCGCCAACTAGACGACCTCTTTCTTTTGTCGGCCTACGACGTCCATCTTGGACTAGCCTGCTATTACACAAGGGTTTGACTATGTTTGGTCTTGACATTTCTTGTATAGGATATGCGTTGTATGCCATGTATGTTATTGATGGATCCTACTATTTGTGTGTACATAGAGAAGGTTCTTTAGCTTTCCCCAATGCACGATCACAAGGTGCGTCGATTGCTGGCACGTCCTTCTCCTTCACGTTGGACTCTTGCACATCCGAGTGCTTCTTTCACAACCGCACCACCCTCTTCCTGCTTACAGCTCTAGTCACAATCTTCTTGGTTGGCCCAGCCCCTGGACAGGTCGTCGCACGTAGTGCTACTGAACTCTCGTCTCTGGCAGCTCCATCTTGTCAGAAATGCTAGACAAAAAGATAGAACACGAAAAAGGGGTTGCACTAGTAAGCAGGGCAGTACATATAGCAAACCCTAATCGGGCTGTAATAGAGTACCCCACAGCAGACTAGACAGATGACACATTCTGACACACCCCCATAGTCAAAGTGGGGGATGATCAGCACAACAAGCAGCAGTTCATAGTTCACAAATATAAGCAAATCTAGAGGCTATAACAGAGGGAAAGTGAGGAGGAGGGACTATGAGAGAAGAGGAGGTGGTGGGCAGCAGCTGAAGCTGCTGGCACACGGCGCAACTGGAGCAACTGGCACACTGGCAACTGGAGCAACTGGCACATGGGCAACTGGAGTAACTAGCTCTGCGGCTAGACGAGTGGCAGGAGCAACTGACTCACGGGCGACTGGAGCAACGGGCTCACGGGCGACTGGAGCAACGAGCTCACGGGCGACTGGCACAACAGTCTCACAGGCGACTGGAGTTGCTGGCTTCACGGCGGCCACCCCTCTTCGACCTCCCCCATCGGCCCAAAATTCCCGTTCACACACCCCTTGCTGCACCCCTAGCTCCACTCCCATGTCACCCCCCTAGCACCACTCCCTCGGCTCCCACACACCCACCCCCCTCAGCGGCAGCTGCAGTAGTGGGAGACGGAGGAGGAGGAGGAGCAGAGGACGGCTCACACACCCGCCACCCCCATAACCGCCACCCCAAGATCCAAACGCAGGCGGGGCAGGGCGGGTAGCAGCTGGGGCGGCGTGCGAGCATAAAGCAGGGCAGGGCGCGGGTCCCTGGGGCGCTGCGACAGGGGAAGAACAGGGCGGCGCGCGGGCCCCCAGGGCGCCACGACGGGCGACGGGAGGGGGCGACGCGCGGGCCCCCAGGGCGCCGCGACGGACGACGGGAGGGGGGGCGACACGCGGGCCCCCAGGGCGCCACGACGGGCGACAGGAGGGGGCGACGCGTAGGCCCCTGGGGCGCCACGACGGGCGACGCGCAGGCCCCTGGGGCGCCACGACGGGCGACGAGAGGGAGGGGGCGACGCGCGGGCCCCCGGGGAGCCGCGCCGGGCGACGGGAGGCGGGGCGACGCGCAGCCCCCCAGGGCGCCA